AGTGTAGTTGTTGTTTTAAACTTGAGTATGAACTTATACAAAATGCAGCAAGATATTTAAAAAACAGTTTTGTTGATTAAAAAACACTATATCGGATTCATATCGGTATCGGCAGATATCCAAATTTATGATATCGGTATCGGACATAAAAAAGTGGTATCGTGCCATCTCTAGTATTTACACAAAGTTAGACAGTTCAAAAGAAGGTGTAATACACTGATTACAAATCATTTAGCTCATTAATGACTGTAGCTTTTGTATGTTCCTCATCTTCTCCTAGACAAGTGGACCAATTTTGACCACACTTCGCTCAACAACTGCCAACTTCTGTATTTTATCGAAATCCCACAATCAAATATATTTGTACATTTGACAGTTCAACTGTGCACCGAATGAAACGGAACGCCAGCATTGACTCACGCTCTGGAATATCAGATAAGACTGGTGTGTGTCAACTCAAACACATTTCTGAAAGACTTTGTTTGGTAGGATGTTCATTTGATAGCTATATCAACAAGCTTTTGATATAGTTTGCAGCTCACTGGTGCAGTGGGAAATGGACTGGCTCTTATATAGTTTTTTTCTGCACGCTGCAAGTCTCATTCACCAACTATACAAGCACCACTCTACTGTGTAAATGTGCTATTCTTTGTATATTACGTCAGATGAATTGGAACGCTCTAATGCATGGGTGTTCTTACAAACACAACTTCCTGCACATATAATATTATTATTTTTTACAGACAGTCTTTCAGGAAATCTGTCTGTCAGACCCTACAGAGGCTGTGCAGTTAGTCCAACTCCTCCAGTATTGCACAGCAATAAGTGCTATTGCCAGAAGCTTTGCTGTGTCTCCCAGCACAGTGTCAAGAGCATGGAGGATATTTGAGGAGACAGAAAGTTATTCTAAGAGAACTGAACAGGGCTGTAGAAGGTCCTAACACATCAGCAGAACCGGTATCTTCTCCTTTGTGCATGGAGGAAGACGAGCTCTGCCAGAGCTACAAAATGACCTCCAGCAGCCCACTGTCTGATCAAACAAACAGAAACAGACTTCGTGAGAGTTGCTGGAGGCCATAATGTCCTCTAGCGGGTGCTGTGCCCACTTCCTGGCACTGTAGAGTCAGATTGGCATTTACCATAGAATACCAGAATTGGCAGGTCCGCTTCAGATGCTCTGTGCGTTTCACAGATGAAAGCAAGTTCACCCTAAGCACACGTGACGGATCTGAGAGGTACTGGATAAGTCGTGGAGAACGCTATGTTGCCTGTAACATCACGACCAGTTTGGTGGTTGGTCAGTGACAGTCTGAGGGTGGCATATCCGTGAAGGAATATCTACAAGCTACGCAACAGCACCCTGACTAGGTATCAGGATGAAATCACATTGTCAGACACTATGATGGTGCAGTGGCTCCTGGATTCGGCCTAGTGTCCGGCCTCATGTGGTCAGAGTATGGAGAGAGTTTCTGGAAGACGAAGGAATAATAATAATAATAATCATCATCATCATCATCATCATCATCACGATAATAATAATAATATCAGTGACTGACCCCAAGAGTTGCATGACCTAAATCCAGTAAAACACAAATACAACATCATGTTTTGACTGCATCCCAGATTCCACCTTTGCTCCCCCTGTCTCGTTAGTCCAATTTCTCCCAGCTGTGTCTCCCTCCTGTTGCCCATTCCCTGATTACCACCCTGTGTATATTAGCCCTGTGTTTTCCTGTGCTCAGTGTCGCGTCATACCCTCAGAATTATGCCTGTGTGTTCAGTTCTCAGTGTCATTGTTCAGTTCACGTTTTCGTTTATCACCAGCAATAAAGCTAAGGTTCTCAGTTTCAATTCAGTCTCAGAGTCTCGCATTTGGATCCTCCTCTCCATCCGCCTGCACACAGAGCCCTGACAGAGAACAAATCTTATGATAACAGTAGCGTAAGTATCTCTGCAGCGAGCCTCTGACACTCTGGCCTGACATGAGTCATGGATGATGGTGACGTGTTCATAATTAACAGCAGGGCTGTGGTGTGACCGTACAACTGGCTTTGTGCTGAGTTAGCTTTCACTGAGTCAGCTGGACACTGATTTCATTAATCTCATTAATCACTTCTGCCTGCTAACCTTTCTCCTCCTTCTCTCTCTGCTTAACCCCAACTACACTGTGCAACAGCATTTTCAAAGACTTCTTTTAATAGCTTAGTCAAGCTGTCAGAGGTGACGTCACTGTTCCCTTAAATTTTTCATTGTTTGTCATACCCATGGACCGCTCTGATCCCTCCTGTTGAAGAGAGTGATTAAAGACACGTCTGCACCTGTGAGTGAGCAGAGCCATCAGACTGGAGGGGACACCTCAGACAAGGAGGTGCAGGCAGAGTAATCTTTCCTCTCTTCTGCAGTTTGTAATCTTTTATATCTAATGTTCACACTCAGGTGAACGCATCAGAAACAGCTCAGAGGTCAGGATCTTGCCCCTTCTAAAGTCTACTCTCTATACAGAAAAGCTTCCTGGTGCAAAACACTGTCTTCCCTTCTTAATTAATTCAGTTATCATAAATAAAACTGCTTGTTTTTAACTAATATTAATATAACAATAATAATTATCGTTAGTATTTCTGTAAAACCTCTTAGTTGTAAAATGTATTTATTTATTTTTTGCCTGTCCTGTTTTGATTCTTTTGCCATCAGAATTATTGTCTAAAGGTGAAGAAAGATGCCCAACGGATTTACTTTACCAAATGGACCATCCCAGCCTCGCTGTATTGGTCTGTTTGATTCACCTTTTATTGCTTATTTTATTTTATTTTCACTTGCTCCACACGGGACAGACATGACTGGGAGAAAGAACAACAGCGGGTAAGAGGGACGGGGATAAAGGGCAAAAAACAAAAACCAACAAAACAAACAGACAAAAAATCCAAATATTGATCACCTGGATCACCTTTTGAGAAAGGAAAAAAGAGAAAACAAGGAAAAAATGAGAGCAACATAATAAACAACATCATCGCGATGATCTATGTGAATATGACAGTAAATACTAAATGTTAAACATTATTGTGCAGCACATAAGATCAACAGAACACAGTGTGCTTTGAGGTAGGAGCCAAAAAGGGTGTAGTTTGTGCGTGTGAGCACCCGTGTGTACACCTGTGAGCATGGACGCGCTTGTTTTTAAAAGGTTCCTTCATGTAATGATCTGCTAGAGGGTGTGGGGGGGCCACAGCCCCGTCCTCCAGGGCATGAAGCAGGTATGGAGGAGATCAAAACTCCAGACATCCAGAGGCCCCCAGAACACAAGAGACCAAGGAAGACCAACAGAGGGGCAGCCGCGCCACTGTCCCAGAAAGAGCTGAGGAGAGTCCCAGATGAGGGCTCACTCAGCAGCCGCGGAGCAGAAGCCAGGGGGAGTTGCAGTGACGCGCCCGTGAGCTCCTGTGCCTGAGTGACCGAGCCCCAGGCCGAGGGGCCGGGGGCACCCCACCTCCGAAGTGGCCCGAGCGAGCCCCAGGCTCCAGGCCCCGATAAGCGGCCGCCAAGGAGTGAGCCGGTGTGTACCATGTGTACACCGGCATGTGTGTTCTAAGGTGCATTTAAAACCCAGGAGGGCATGGAGCTACCTGCCAGAGAGCAGCAGGTAAGCGCATGGTCCCTCCTGCTAGCCCTCAATGTCTACGTGTATTTAACATTGAGAGGTGGGCAACGACACCAGGGGTGAGGTGTACACCCTGATGGACATCTGGATGCTGTGTAGCGTGCCCACCCCCAAGATCCTATATGTATGTGTTATGAGAGTGTGAGTAATGTGAATGTCTAAGTTGTGGGATAAAGTTGAGGCACAGGAAGCCAGAAGGGGACAGAGGGGGGGTAGCCTCCTCTGCACCCTGGTGAACCACCTTTACCCCAAGGCCCTGCATGTGTGGGTGATTGTGGTGGAGCGGGAAGAGGGAGGCAGCTGGAGATGGGGAGGGAAGGAAGGGAGGGGCAAGTGACCCCTTGTAAAATGTATTAAATGTCTTGTTGGTGTCAGTCAAATCAGATTAACAGATGCATGAAGCAGATTTTAAGCAGTTTTATCTCCTCAGTGTCACATCACAGCCTTGGTGTGTGTCTGTGTGTGTGTTCTGTTTGTTATGCCTCAGGTGTCAAGCAGTGGTTAAAAGTGTTTTTCTTTGTTTTTTCTTGTTAATAACTGTTTTTCATGCTTTGATTTTTGTCAGTGAATGTAGGTTTGTGATTAAAATTGAATTCTTATCACCTACTTTTTTTTACCCTTCATTCAGTGATATTTTTTCTACATTTAATTAGATTATCTAGAAAATAATTCAATACGGAGAGATTGTGTGGAAATACCAAACATGATTTATTAAAGACAAAAATAAAGTAAGCCATCTGGCAATTAACTATAATGACCCATCATAGAAGAAAGAATCCCAGCAGTGAAAGGAGTTAGGAGGTGGGTTGCATGACAGTGTCTGAAAGACACAAACTAGCAGCCGAAGAGCGAGGAAGCCTTCAAATGGGTTTCTAAATACTGTCCTAATTTAACTAATGCATAAGCTTAATTTTCTATATCATCAGAATATATCTGTATTACAAGCTTTTTGTGTGTGACTTTGCATTAAAACTGGGACGTGTATGTAATTGTTGACATTCCAGACTCACAAAAACTAAAATAAACTAAAACTATCTTTTGAAAAATAACTAAAACAGGACAGAACTGGAAACCTGTTTTAACATAAAAGCAGCAAACACATAACCTATAATTACTTGTGGTGTGTATCATCTCAAAAGTGTAATGGTAGAGTTTATTCTGCATTATGGGCAGTAACACTGTATAATAATAATTTACAAATAAACAGGATAATCAATCAATCACAAAGCAACTGTTATCTACAGTAAGTAAAAACTGGTCTTTATCCTTTCATCATGTAACACGAGCTTTGTCCGCACCTGGACTCGAACCCGCGCTCTGATGGTTCCGTAAAAACTCCGTCTTTTTTTCATTGGATATAACGTAGCGATTTGATTGGTTGTTTCTGCGTTCCACCCATGAGTGATGGGCCGAGGTGTCAGCGTTTTTCTACCCGCTCTGGTGGCACGGAGCGAGGCTGGCTGTGGTGGATGTGCTGCGGGTCGAGTCGCTTTATACAGTATGGAGCCGCCCGACTTCGAAAGCATGAATTTTACGGTGGCGCCGGAGGTGTCTGCCTACCCGGTGTGCAAAGAGTGGAAAGAGGGTGCGGAAGGATCGGTGTTCCATCTCGCCAACATCTTTCTGTTCCTTGGCTTCATGGGGGGCAGTGGCTTTTACGGACTCTTCTACCTGTTCACCTTTCTCACTCTGGGCTTCTTCTGCTCCACTCTCTGGTCGTGGTCGGACTCCTGCACCACGGACTCTTTTCTGTGGAGTTTGGCGATCTTCGCGGTGTGTCTGGTACAAGTCCTGCACATGTCATACAGGCTGAGGAGCTTTTCGTTTGACAAGGACTTCCAGGAGCTGTATAGCTGCATGTTTAAAAGAGTCGGAGTGTCATTGTCCCATTTTGGGAAGATAGTGGCCTGCTGTGACGGGGAAGTCCAAACTTTAGAGAAGGACCGCTGCTTCGCCGTAGAAGGAAAAACCGCTATTGACAAGCTGTCAGTGCTGCTCTCTGGAAGGTGATTGCGCACACACGCTTGAACAGCTCAGTGTCAAACATGGTACACCCCAACATAGAGTTTAGCACAGTCATGCCCCTATTGATATTAGAACAAAGGGTGTGTTTTCTAGATACTCTTTGTCATGTGAAAGTCTTACTGACAGACTCCAAATCTTTATCTGGGTCAGGGTTACTGGGACTGATCAGGATTGGCTCATGAGCTAAAAGGTTCATTATTGTAATCTGCATTTCTAGTTCACTCTTTACCTGAGGAGTCTTTGCAGCTTTGACCGCATAGCTTTGTTTGTTTGTTTGTTTGTTTGTTTGTTTGTTTGTTTGACCAGGCTTTAACCACAACAGCTCCATGTGTCTAAATTATGCGCAAGTAAAATGAGCACATGGTAAATTAGTATAGCTTTCAAGAGCCTAGATTTAAACATGCTTTTCATAACCACATGTCCTTGGGGAGTAAAGGCTGAATAGATTACACTGTAATGATTGCTTTTCACTCATCTATGGACAGCAGCTTATTGAACAGTTAAATGTTTTTCTGCGGTTACTGTGAAAGCACTCGCATTAGGTGACTGATTACCTTAATGATTAGTCTACTAGTATTTTCATGTAAAGTCAATACATTTTCATCAGTTTTTGTGTCTTATTACTTTTGTAGCTAAAAATGTACTGGAGTAATAGTTTGTACAAAATGTAGCCTAGTGCACAAACGCACATTGCAGAATTTATCATGAAATCAGTTTTACACGTATTAGAATATATGTAATATATGTAGTAGAGTGCTCTGAGGCAGTGGATGCTGCCTGTGAACTTACATTTTCAGATATTTGTTCTGAGAAAGTGAGGCAGAACACCACCACAAATTTTGGATGTTACTATAATGGAAAGAAGTAGAATTGGTCCTAGCACAGAACCCTGTGGAACTCCATAATTAACCTCAGTGTGTGAAACAGCACTACTCACACGTCTCTGAGTCCAGACGCTAAAAGGCAAGGAGCACTTGCTGCTGGAGCTATTTATGAAGCTCTGCATCACTGAGAGAGCAGCTCTCTTTTAGAGAGGCTAAAAGGTCATCGAAGGTAACAGGCTCACAAATGTGTCCACTGCACTGAATGGAGACGGGGTGGTTCATGTATATGTTAGTTTGGTCACAGCATGTCTCTGTGGCTTCACTTTGTTTTTAAACAAATTGACTTAGTGTGGAGTGAAAAAGTGTTTGCCCACTTCCCGATTTCCTGGTGTTTTGCATATTTGTCACACTTACATGGTTCAGATCATCAATTGATATGAGACAAAGATAACCCAAATAAATATAAAATGCACTTTTTAAATGATGATTTCATTGATTAGAGGAGAAAAGTTATCCAAACCTACCTGGTCCTGTGTGAAAAAGTAATTGCCCCTCTTGGTAAATCATTGATTAACTGTGATTAACCACATTTTCTTTGGAGAGCTGCGTTCAATTTCACTAAACACACTCAGGCCTGATTACTGGAAGATCTGTTGAATCAAGAAATCACTTAAACAGAACCTGTTAGACAAAGTTAAGGAAGGCTAAAAGATCTCAAGAAGGAACACATCATGCCATCTAAAGAAAAACTTGAGAAAAAAATCACTGATATCCATCAGTATGTTAAGTGTTACAAAGGCATTTCCAAGGCTTGAGACTCCAGTGAAACACAGTGAGAGCCATTATACACAAATGGAGAAAACATGGAACAGTGATTAGCCTTCCCAAAATTACTCCAAGAGCATGTCGAAGTCTCATCCAGGAGGTGACAGAAGAACCCAGAACGGCATTAAAGAACCACAGGCTTCACATTTCTCAGTTAAGGTCAGAGTTCATGATTTAGAGACTGGGCAAAAACAGGATCCATGGGAGAGTTCACCAAACAAAAACCATTGCTGACCCAAAAGAACACAAAGGCTTGTCTCACATTTGCCAAAACAAACATCTTGATTGACCCCAAGACATCTGTGAAAGTATTCTGTGGACCGATTCAACTATTTGGAATGTTTGAGTACCGTTACATCTGCCATAAAACTAACACAGCCTTTCAGAAAAGGAACAGTCCTCAATTACTGAATGGTTGGAAGTGATGCAAATTATATAATGTGGGCTTTGTAGTTACCAGATCTTAAACTAAAAAAAACACCATTATGAAATTAACCAACAGTAAAATATGGTGGTGGCAGTGGGATGATCTGGGGCTGTTTTGCTGCCTCAAGACCTGGAAGACTTGGAACCATGAATTTTTCTACCAAAATATCACGAAGGAGAGTGTCCGGTCCGGTTTGTGATCTCAAGCTGAAGCACACTTGGGTTCTGCAGCAGGAAAATGATCCAAAACACAACAGCAAGTCCACCTCTGGCTTAAGAAAAACAAGATGAAGACTTTGGAGTGGACTATTCAAAGTCCTGACCTGTTATTAATCTCTGTCTCTCTTCCACAGCATGTCTTTATCCTATCTTCCTTCTCTCACCCCAACCAATCACAGCAGATGGCCCCGCCCCTCCCTGAGCCTGGTCGGAGGTTTCTTCCTGTTAAAAGGGAGTTTTTCCTTCTCACTGTCGGCAAAGTGCTGCTCATAGGGGGTCATATGATTGTCGGGTTTTTCTCTGTATGTATTATTGTAGGGTCTACCTTACTATATAAAGCATCTTGAGGTGACTGTTGTTGTGATTTGGCGCTGTGTAAATAAAATTGAAACTGAATCTGATTGAGATGCAGTGACATTTAAAAGGCAGTTTATGCTTGAAAAGCCTCCAGTAAAAGACTCATTGCCAGTTATCGCCAACACTTGAGAGCAGTTGTTGCTGCTGAGGGTGGCCCAACCAGTTTTTAGATTTATGGGTACTTATGAGCCTTGGAGATTTGGATCTGTTTTCCCTTCAATAATAAACACCTTCATTTAGAAACTGCATTTTGTGTTTTAAGCCTGGTCTAATATTTAAAATAGTTTGATCATCTAAAACATTTAAGTGTGACAAACATACAAAAAATAGGAAATCAGGAAGGGGGCTGTATGCTCCAGGCCACTATTATTTTAAGCTGCCTGCATGCAAGTGACTTCTCATCTATATATGCAGCAGCGAATTTGTGAGTTTATAGCGCGGTGTAATAGGGCTGTGCGATATGACCAAAATCTCATATCCCGATATAAGACATCTATCGTCCCAATAACGATATAAATGTTATATAAATATATTTATTTCTCATCTGTAAACTCTCTGCATACTCTTTCACATGATTCAGTTTATTTTGAAAAGTTTTAACAGGATCTTGAGCTTTATTGTGAAAGGTTTATGTGGAAAATAAATAAGCGGACGTGCGAGGATTTTACTGCCGTTGTTGCTAACGACAACACATAAAAACAGGCGCTTGTATGTCCGTGGTTTGGTTATATAAAATATAAGAGAAAGAGAGAACTTTAA